ATAGATATATATATATGTATATATATAGATATTTGTGTATAAATATAATAGATATATATAAATATAAATAATATATATATATATATATATATATTCATACATACATATACACATGTATATATACACTGCATGTGTAGTATATATCATACCTCAAAGTCCTGGTTGGCAAGGTACACATAGGCTTTCTTGATATCCGGTCGTTTGTAGGTCTTACCCGTTAGCTGGTCTCGCTTGGTTTTTCCCAGTTGATTTGCTGTGTGTACTTTGGCTATGTCCATCTGTTAAAACAAAATAGTCACATAATTAGCGGCTACATTCTTCACCATATTATCTGCGTGTTCTCTGCCTATAAACATCTGTATCGAAATTCGATCGTTTGAAGGACCGAATATCGATATAGGTGACGTTTGCGTCGAATTACACAACTCCTTTAACACGTTATCTTTCCCAATAATTCAGCTATGTGAATCTTGGCTATACACCATTGTACCAATGTACGTAGACTATTATGGCAGTTAACGACTGAGAAACCCCGCACAACCGATAACCAATCTAAGTGGAATACATCCCTGATGCTATATATAGCTTCATATTAAGGAAGTGTGGTGTCAATCACTGATATATCGAATCATACGTAATATTGTATCATCTAGTACCGCCCAGTCTGTCTCAATAGGTACGATATGTGTACTTGGACTGTGTCCATTCGGTCCAAACACTCTACGTAAAAAGCTGATCGCTGCCGGGCGTGTATCTTGTGTCATGATGTGCTGAACTATAATTTCGAATTGTTTAGTCTCTAATGGTGGGTTCTAGGTTTATAAAATGAGCCGTCTGACTGATAAGAATCGATCATACAAACAACAGATAATGCCAGCTATTTGTGTCCGCAACCTACAAATATGCCGTTTCATATCAAATATCATATCACATCTTATGCTACCATATCAATGCTGAGATTTGGACCATCAAATACTGCGAACTGCTCGACAATCAATCCACGGTTATCACGGACAAAACAACAACGGCGATGCAAAAACATACTCAATCGGGCATATGCGTATATGCGAATTGTAAGCAATAAACGGTCAGAATAACTATTCCGTACTCCTAACGAATAAGCCATACTAACCTGATATATTTTTTCTAAGTAATTCTTGATGTCGAACTTCGTCATGGTTTGGGGCACATGGAACTGGGAATGGAACAGACAAGGATGAGTATAAATGTAAAAGCGGTATCCTCACATATGTTTGTTCATGTAAAATAAATACAATACTTAGACCCATCCAACACAAGCACAAACGCAAACGCAGACGCAGATGCAGGCACACACACACTACACGCACGCATGACGCATGACGCACACACACACACATATATATATATATATATATACATATACACACACACACACACACACACACTCACATATATATGTATATACACATATGATATATATATATATATATATATAAATATACATATATATATATATATGCGAGTGTGAGAGAGAGTATTGTGCACAGCATTCACGTGATCTATGTATACACACACACAAACACACAAGTGAAGAAAACACACACATACATAGACATATAGACGGTATGTATTCTATATACACACAAACACAAACTTGTAGAACT